ATATAGGATTGCAAACGAGGCCTCAAAGAAGTTTTTGCAACACGTGGCTCTGCAGCGGCGTGTAGCCGATTTCTTTGCTCCGTTTTAATTGAAGCTAGGGATGAAAATGTTTTTTCGCATGACGAACAAGTAACTGATTGAAAATACGGACAACAGTTTGGTTGCTATATTACTTAGCGATGGGTATTTGAAATATGTATATATGCTCATTGGTATTCGTTATCAAGAGATATTCAAAATTGTGACAGTGATTCTTTTTTAAGTCTGAGCTGTAAAGCAGAATCACAATTTATAAACAGGCTTTTTCTTTTTCATCGGGTTCATAATATTAATCCCTCTGCAGTTGACCGACGCCTCAAGCGAAATTAATTTACATTACAATGACAAAGTCGTCGGTAACTTGGCACCAGGCTAAATCCTATTGTGTATGCTTAAAATACTGGAAAAGATCTCAGCGGCCCATGCTTCTTTGCGCGTCTCGTGACCACCTGCAGGGTCGCAACAAGTTCATATCTTACTGGGATATTATACTGTTCTTTTCTGTTTTTTTTTGGTTCAAACAAAGAAATATGCATAACGTTTTTTATAGATTGTCATATTAATGAGGAAAAGCATGCAGAACAGAAAAAGTACGCCTGTCGATTTTTAGGTTACTGAATCTTGCAAAATTTGATGGAGCGCATTCGCGATAAATCGCAACCGAAAAAGCGAAAAGTGTGATTACTCGGCGCCAATATGTCGCGAAAGACGTCGTCAAGATGTCGCAATATGACGACGGAAGAGAAATTGCGCAATTAACAAACGCAACCTCGTCTTCGGTAAAGTGATTGGAACGGCATGAAAACAACAAAACAACGAAATTTCTTGCGGACCGGCAAAAAAGCTTCGCGGACCGGCGGTTGGGAACCACTGTTGTATAAGACATTTGTTTTATAGGCTTTGTGGTTGTTGTAGGTTAATGAAGCAGTCTCGTACCATGATTGTTTGTTTATCCATCTAAACGAGATTATTCCACGATGCTAGGCCTTGGAGCGATTGCTGGACAGTGCGAGAAAACGAATAATTTTCGATGATCAATTATTCTAATTTAAGTTGCAAGGTTCTTAGTTCGTCCGTATTGTAATCAGTCATGAAATCATGACAAGTGATGACAGATATCTTTAAATTGAGAGTAATTCAGTAATCAGAAATGTTTTAAAGTTGACTGCAGTATCTTAGTGACTGATGGTATAAAGGCCGAGCACGATTGATATCAGCCCTCCTTCGATGGCCCGCGGTTAGAAAATAAGTTCATGATGATCAAATTAAATTATACTAAAATTATGTGAGTGTAATATCGCCCAAGATTTGGATGCTTCTCTTCGATTAAAAATCATACTCGCTACTATATATTCGTTTAAATCAAGTTATTGACAAAATCTGATATTATGGGAATCCTGATGATGTCAAATCCAGAATGATGTCAAAACCTATTACTATACGATTCAGGATGACATTCCCACGTAAACGACGAAAATAACAATTGCCGGCCGAATACACATGGGAGTGCATAGCGACGTAGTTATATCTGATAACTGTTTCGGACGAGTGAAAACATCGGTCAAGTTTGAGCCAGATATAAATAGAAGCATAGCTAAGGTATTACGGTATCTTTGTATCATGACTGTTTTCATAGTAATAAAAAACAGTTGCTCGGATAAAAAGCGGAGTGAACTACAGCGTACAGGAGTCCTTAGCAGTTGAAGCTGGTTGGAACGAAAGGGTATAATTGTGAACTGAAATCAGAAAAACATAACAATTTAATTTTAATTTTCGTTATGAATTACTACGACCGTTCTGTAGCAAGTGGGGATTCTATGCGTATGAACCGAGGTAGAAGAATTGCAACATTGCCTGGATATTCTGGTGATTTGGTATTGATTGATCCATCGACTCCTATCAGACTATACACGAAAAGGTATGTTTTATATATCCTTTATCTTTAAGTTTTAATTTATCAACCTCTAAATAGTGTAATTATTTTACGTTATTAAGATCTACGTAACGACTCTCGCTTTTTGTTTGTTATGATAATTTGCTAGTGATTAACAAACAGTATCACATAAAATGGGAATATTATAAGTTGAGGTTACGCCTCGCGCAAGTGGATTCGTATGCGCATAAGAATGCCGTAGCAATAATAAAGATCAATATTCTGTTTTTAATTCAAGAGTCTTGCACCACACCAAAACAAATGTGTTTCTGTAACGTTTCGTCTGATTTCAGTCCATTGTGTTAGTGTACAGCAAGACTCTTAAATTAAATAAAACCTAATATTCGTCAAATTGCAGGCAAGTTGTGCGTACTTCAGCTTTTCTCGTTTCCATTAAGTTACTTTGTCGTAAATCGGCGTATGTCCTTACACTCTCTTGACCTCAAAATGAATAGTCAATGTATCCTAATCCCCCTTTTCTTTCAAGAAGAGAGTGAACAGTTGAAGGTCCATATTACATTGGATATTTTCCAATAGACCGTCTTGATTACGCACAAGATAGCGGTTGGACGGGGTCTCTACCCGAAACAACATTCTTCCACCAGCTTGCAATAGCATCGTGAACTAACTGTAAAAGAGAAAAAATCCAAACAACGAGATTCTCGATATTTTTCTGTAGTTTGTCTTCGTGTACAAATTGCACTTGTAAAATACGATGTAAAATGTGTTAAAACAGGTTCCAGGTTTGCTAAAATGGTATCAGTTTTACGGTATAAAACTGTAGTTTGCAATTTCTGTTGTGAATTAGTCTAACTATTTCTTATTGCAGCTAAGTGGTATGGTACATATATATGGTATATGCAGACGTCATGTAGTCAAATAAATATAATTATATTTTCGTTATATAGTGAAATGTATATTTACATTCCCTTTCTTCCCTCGTTTTTCATTGGGTATTCCATTGTAATCTCCTTATCGTTCATATTCATACTGTACGCTACGTATAGTTGTCCACCTGCAGAAGGCAAGGCAAATGTCCAACTTGGCTCCTTTGAAGATGTTCGATCTATATTCCAAAAATGATTTTTCATTGAATCATTCTTGACGCTGATGTGATCATGCTCTTTCACAAATTCATCTCGAATCCATTTATTGTAGTTTTTGTCGCAAATCTCGAATCCTGATTCTTCCTCGATGTCACTGCAGCCTTGACTATCTTCTTTTTTGGAATATATGCTGTCCAATTTCTCGCGTATCCATTCGAAGAGAGACATGGTTAATTTATATTCAGTACTTAAAAAACACAACACGTGCTTTAACAGAAAAAATGCTATAAATAACTCGATAGGAAAATCTAATTGTTTCTAACTAATCGCGGACGAGAGTCTTCAGTGATGTTTAACAATCGCTTGCTTACAAAGTAGCTTTCTGCGACAAAGTGTCATTCTTAAACCCTTTACAAACAAAGATGCTCAAATATACGATCACGAAAGCCAAATGTCATATAAAATGTTTACACGAATTAAAATAAACCAACAAAATTTTGGATAAAATATCGGGCTCGCAAGATTCGAAATAAAAATCCATTTTCAAATACTGAGCATTTGAAATCAATTGGCTCCATGGTTGCGAAGATGAGCATTTTTATAATAGCAATAATTTAGCACAATAATTTTCAATTTATCATTATCAACTCGGTGTACAAAAATGAAATTCATATTTTAACATCACGGAAAGTACCTTTGAATCATCAACTATTGTAACTGTGTCACAGTTTGCCTGGAAATACCGCAAACCCTACCGCTAACAGAAACAGTTCGCGCTGGGAGTGAGCGAGTCTGAGGCATGAGGTGACGCAATTAATCGATATGTCACGCGAATACGCGTTGCGTATAATGATAAACAGCATTCCTTGTTTCCACGGAAGCTTTGTAGGCAAACATGAGCGTGCCATCCATGTTTCTAAGACAAAATAAGCACGCAACTCAAAAATAAGCACATCGTTACTTTATAAGACGCGGGCTAGAAAATAAGCACAAATCTTAGAAATAAGCACGATATGGTAACCCTGGTTATAACCTTGCACTGAGCCATTTTTCGTATCCGTGATAGGCATAATCATAGCATTTAAAGACCGAGAGACACCACCACCGAGCTAAGAAGAGATGCTACAAAGAGAAAGATCAACAGTAAACAACATATTGGATTATAAAATTTGAATTTAAATAAGATGGCACCAGTATAGAATGAATGTGGTCCATCGTGTGTTATTGTGAAAAACTCTTACCTTGGTATGCCCATCGAGGGCTTTACATAGTGAATCCTCCATTCCATTTCATCTGTTGGATTACCAGTTATTTCCAATAGACCGTCTCGATTACGCACAAGATAGCGGTTAAGCGAAGACTGTGCCCGAAACAACATTCTTCCACCAGCTTGCAATAACATCGTGAACTTACTGTAAAATAGAAAGAATCCAAACAACGAGATTCTTGATATTTTTTCGTAATGTGTCTCTGTGTAAAAATAGCATTTGTAAAATGTTTTGAAAGAGGTTTCTGGTTTGCTATAACTGGTAATCAGTTTTAAGGTAGGCTATAACAGTGCAGTCGTGCAATTTCTGTTGTGAATTAGTCTTACAATTTCTCATTGCAGCTATGTTGTATGATATACGTATATATGTTATAATGTGGACTTCATGTAGTCAAATAAATATAATTATATATTCATTTTATAGTAAAATGTATATTTACATTTCTTTCCCGCCCTCGTTTTTCATCGGGTATTCCATTTTAACTTCATTATCGTTTATATCCAAATTGTAGGTTACGTAGAGTTGTCCATCTGTAGAAGGCAAATGTCCAGCTTGGCCCCTTTTGAGAAGATGCTCGATCTATTTTCCAAAAATGAGTTTTGCTCGAATCATTCTTGACGCTGATGTGATCATGCTTTTTCACAAATTCATCTCGAATAATGTAGACCGGAGCGCCTTCGGACATTTTCGTGAAACATGCGCGCCCGCACGGGTAATACTTCTTCTTCAAACGCATCGCCGATCACGCGCCACGGTTTTGCACAACTAAATCATTTTTGTTACAATTTAATATGTTTTTTTCCATTGTCAAAATCTTTCAATAGTGTTATTGTTGGCACTTGCGAAAGAAGTGAAAGAGGGAAACTGTATTTCATTCCAACAATTAATTATTATCGCTAAAACATTAGGTATATTTAAAGTTGTTATAAACAATTTTTACCGCTGGACGTATCTTTTCACGTTTTGGATTTCGTGCAAGGCCCGAGCATAATATGCGGGCAGAGATCAAAGCTTTTACTATGTCGAAACGCTTTTTAGACTTTTCAGACCACAGAAACTATCGAAAAAATATGACCGTTTTTGTGTTCGAGATATGAAATATTCTCCAATTCCACTTCGCGTCCGTGAAGTAGTGCAATTTACTACGGGGTCGATTAATTACAAGGTCGACCCCCCTCCCCTCCTTCTTTGAATTTTTTTGAAAACTGAAACAGTCGCTAATAACGCGTGCAATTGCCTTTTGCTAAAATCGTCGATTGTTTTCCTCATTGTGACGTGTATCGATCGAATGCATCGGAAATCGCAAAATTTCGTGTGCCTAAGGCACACATTATGTTTGGTTAGCGTTTAGAAACATTTTGTCACTAAAATCGAAACACGGTTAATTGTGGGTGGGATTTGCCTTTTTATCCATTACTTTAAAATTGACGTCGAAAATTTTTGTGTTAACATTAAACAAGGTTGAGAACGCGACTATTTCCCGGTTTGTGATAATATATAAGATAATTAATCTAAAGTATATTCGATCAATTTTTATTGTACTGAAATAAATTTTACTTCGTGAGATTTTACAGCAGATTTACGGGTTTCTTGAAAGGTTTTATCTTCAAAAATAATCGGAGTGGCAACATTGCGATTGAGCGAAGTCAGCATTACAAGTACATCTCGAATTTATCGAATTCGCAAAACGGCAAAAATACAGATCAAAACAATATATAATCGGGCAGTTTACCACACATTATTATGCCCGCGGATTGCCGTGGTGTTTTAGAGTGGCTCTCGTTTTGTCGACGCAACCGCAGTTTAAATTGGAGACAATTAAATTAACAAAGCAAGACATGTTAAATAAGCCCGTATCGGTCTCTGATTGATTCCTTTGCACAGGTGAAAAATAATTTTTCGTTGAAAAAGCGGCACTTTTAACAAGTGGCGCAATCGCGGCGACTGTTCAGCGTGGATTTCGAGGCGGTGAATGTGTATTTTTGATTTACTAGTATACCTCATAATTATTTTCATTGTATGAAGTAAAATTGCACTATACTGGATTTTATATCAGATATCGAGTTTTTTGTAACGGCGATAACGAGTTTGGAAGGTTGCAAAAATACGTATCAAAATACATCAGGCAGCTTATCTCTTATTTTCATGTCCACAGATCGGCGTTTTTTTTAAAGTTTAGTAATTTTTATTCTGACGTAAGAAGTCGCAACCGCGAGTTACGTTGCACACAATCAAATTAATATATATATAGGGACATTTTAGAATCTCGTGCTAGTCATGGAATGAATATTTTTTTCGCGACAGAAAAATCACGGATTGAATATTTTACGCGACAGAAAAATTATTATACGCTTAAAAACGGCGGCTCTTTTAACGAGCGCGTTATCGCGGATTTTGACCCCCCTTTGAAAATCCTGGCTGTGCGCCTGAATTTGTGCCTGTTTATTTTCGTATTAAATTAATAATAAAAACTCTGAAAAGTCATTGCGTGAATCCCGAATGTCATTTTGAGTTCCATTGAATATTTATTAAATCGGCAATTCTACTAGTCAAATCTTAATTCCTTTGTAAAATTTAGGTAATATTTCGCACAATAGATTGTTTGTTACCCTGTTTTGCATTTCTAAATTTATTGCGCTTCATGCAGGACTGAGAATTGAATCAATACCCAAATGCGACTCCTCAAATTTGTCGTTTCTGTTTGTTAGCAAGAGCCGTGAGGTAATTCTCGCGGAATTCAAAGGATCGGTTTAGTGCCGCGCAAGTTCGATGTCCAAGCAAAGCGGCCTAGGTACTCGATATATGAGTAGCAAAATGACATTCTAATTATTAGAGAATGACATCGACAGGTTATTGTTATGTGACGATACACGATGCGGTGTTTTGCGGTTGTCGTTCCAAGTTCGCCCCCCCCCCAAAAAAAAAAAAAAAAAATGGAAAGTGTCCGCCCCTGGTTCTCCAGGTATTACCGTTAAAATTCACAGATAAATAGTGTATAATCAAGTAAACCATATCGAGGATTATCACAAATCAAGACGTTTTGTCTCCGTACCTAACGTTAGCATAAGCAGTTTTGAGTAACCTCAATACTGATTTAAATAAAACCTTATACTGGCGCTCTTACATAAACTTTCTAGAACGTTACCTTGTACCTCAATTGATACACATTGCTTCAGATTGGTGCAATACAGTTTTTTCTCCTGCTAGTTACTAAGGTAACACATATATCGCAACCAGATTGCAAAACGTAATGTAGCAAATATTCTACTCATGCGTTGTTGACGACCAGAACAAGTGCTTGTTATTGTAGGTGGATGGAAATCTGGCGTGACGGAACAGAAGCTTAAGAAACAAATCTGAAGTGAGACATAAGAGCAGAGGAATGTAGCGGTAAGATGAATTGATTTTGTTGCCTAACGATTTCGCGCGAGTTTGTATGCCATACCTCATTAGACAGGGCCGTACCAAACTTTTCGGCTGCCCAAGACGAGTTTCTGATAATGATCTGCCTTATACCTAACCTTAAAAAATAATTCAGGTGTAAACAAATCATAGATGTTGTTATACATGAATCAATAAATTAAAGATCAAGTAAGAGTGAAATGTTTGTATTATTGCGCCATGTCACCCAATGCCCAGATGAGCAAATTGACGGGAAGGGACAGTCAGCCATTGCTGCTTCACCATCACAACGATCAAGAACACAAGATTATACACGTAATGTCATCTTCCACCTAAATAAAAACGCATCGGGAAAACAGTTGTTATAACGCGAACCCAACAGCGCCTTGGACGCAGCGCCTACAACTTGATACCGAGGGCGGTTGCCATCATGGACCTTTCCCAGCCCCTGCTTGTGGATGCCATCTTATAAGTTTTGAACCAGAGAGCCTCAAAATGCATAGCCCAGGGTCTAAATCCGCCCCTAGTCAAATCTTTTGTATCCGGTACAGCGAGTCGGTTTAGGATCGTGCACCATAGTCCTGTATCTCCTATAACCGATGTTCATCATCGATGGGCATGTATGACTTTCTTTCCGTTTGAACACTCAATTTTAAATTTCCAGAACCAATTACACAAATCGATTTCAATGTTCCAAACCTTTGCACTAGGTAGGGCTGGGCATTTCGAATCGAATAGTAAATTATTCGAATCGGTTAGGAGCAAATTTTCGAATCGCCGCCATCTTGTTTTACTCTTTCCGCCAATGGTCGAAGTAAATTTCTTAATTTTTTTTTTCATTGAAGCCTATAATTCGTAAAATATTCAATCCGTGATTTTTCTGTCGCGAAAAAAA